TGAAGGCACCATTGAGTGCGGCCTTCGTTATGAAACTCTTGAGAGTTGTCTCATCCAATCGGTTGAAGGCGTCTGTCTGTACGACAGCAGTCAAGTGGACCAAAGCGAACCGAAAACAGTAGTCTTCTAGTCCTTTGGCGTCGAACCGAATGGCGGCCGAGTATAGCATTGCCACGTTCTCTATGGTTATGCCGTTCCTTATAAGTCGTTCACATTTCTGTTTGAGGTCTGTCTCGCAGTAAGAATTGGCCAAATCTAAGAGTCCGATGCCGTCTTCAGGGGCCACCTCTACCGCATCGGTATACAAGTATTGCAAGAATGCATAGTACACTGGATATGAGTATTGAGTCATCTGTTGGCGATTACAACGGATTTGCGGTTAATATTGAAGCGAATCTAACGACAACTCACCTCAAGTTCGCCTTTAGAGCTCTCCTCCCAATTGCTGCCAAACATTGAGCGGAAGTGTTCACATCTGACCCGAAGTATGGCTTTGTGCACATGAATCGGCATTCCGGTCATCGCCTTCTGTAACACGGATTCGCCGCTCCGTTACGTGGATATTGCCATTCCCTGCAATAATAAGGCGCCCCACTCTATTGGACTCATGTGGTGGCTGTTGGCCCGGGAGGTGCTTCGTCTGCGCGGCTCAATCACTCGCGAGACGCCCTGGAATGTGATGGTTGACCTCTACTTCTTCCGCGACGCCGAAGAGCAGGAGAAGGAGGAGCAGATCGCTCTCGTGCCCGAACCACGCGTTAAGGCCGACACCACCGATGCCTACAACGCCGACTGGAATCCCGAGGCCGCGGCTGAACCGGAAGCGCCTGAAGTCGTGGCGCCGGTGGCTATTGGAGGACAACAGGACTGGAAAATAACGGCCCCCGCAGAGGACCAGTGGACTACACCCGCCGCCACCGCTGTTGACGACTGGGGCGCTCAGACCACTGACTGGACTACATAGACGTCTTGTCTTCCGAGACATTACTATTATGTTATAGTAATTGAATGAATTTTGAAGAGAAAATAAAATGATTTTCTAAAGAATTTGATGTCTATTTTATTTAATTTTTCAAATTTTTAGTGGAGATGTGGCTATTTAGACCTCATAATTAAAGTTTAGACACTTTGTAACGTAATAATATCGGTTATTATCGGATGTACTGTATAGTAACGTTAATATGAGGTAATATATACGGAATAGTAGTTATTGGCGACAAGTTTATAGTCTAATATAGACTAATACCTGTATTGCACACCTTATGAATGAGAAGTTTGATTCAATGAATTTTCTAGAACTTCTAAAATTTTCACAATTTTATTTGATAAGGGTCACAATTATTATTTGCTATTCAATTTGTGTTTAGATTATCAACTAAATGCAAGTCTGTAACAGTACTACTAATTATCTAATTAGTGTACGGAATAAAGTATTAATAGCAGAATACAGAATATTTTCAATACTGTATGAATGTAGCGTATATTATGTGAAATGACAGCATTGAATACAGTATTGTAAATGTATTGCAGAATCACGTGACAGTTAACTGTATTTACATTGCATTTACTGTTAGTTTGATTTGAGTGTTGATTGCAATCGAAACCCATTTAACACTAAAGCAATGCATTGGCTTTGTATTGAAAATATGTGACAATGGATTCACTAGTTTACAGTTACCTTGCTCAAATAATTAATAATTGAATATATATTTAAATACCTGTTGGCTCCAGAAGAATGAGTCCAACACTGAATTACCAGAAGACAGGCGACCGAAAAGTGGACCTATTCTTCAACAATAATATCATAGATATTATGAACAATGAGTTATCGATTGTCAACAATAACCTCATCTTCGACTCGATGCCAGACTTGCAGCCAATTCTTGACTTCGATGACTCGGATGACGGTATGGACGAAGTCGACGGTAATCTCGTGTCCAATGCCAACGCCAACCAACCCGTGAGACCAACTAATGGCAAGAATGGGAGGGCAGGCAAGAGGTCGGGCTATAAGGCGACGGCAGCGCTGGTCAGACATCAGGGCCCGGCTTTCATCTTCATCGAGGCTTTGGTCTGGAATTTCTGCAGTCATTATGAAAGCGATAAACGAAAACAAAAACTCCTTTTCCTTAAACTCTGCCAACGATTGCAAGACTTCAAACTGATTGGCAATACCTTCACGAACGACACGTTTCATCCGATCCGTGAAGTAGTTTGTCATAAATTCAATGATTTGATCCGTGAGATCAAAGCCAAAGACAGTCCTCTATCGCTGTCTTCGTCTTCTGCCTCTCTTTGCGACCAAAACAGCGATTCTTCGCATTTGGTGGAAGAGTCGAGTCGTTACCGAAAAGAGTTCTTGGATTTGGGTCTCATTGAAGAAGGAGGTAATCATTGTATGACTTAATCGTTGGTTATATGATTTAATGGTGTCTTTACTAAAAGGTTTTGGAGTCGTCCACAAAGCCAAGTATCGTTTCGATGACTGTGAATATGCGGTCAAAATGATTAGATTTAAGTACAAGAGTGACACCGGCTTCAAGAAAATCACACGAGAAGTGCAATTGTATGCCAACCTGTCGTCCCATCCGAATGTTGTCGGCTATAAGACCGCATGGCTTGAGAACTGGTGTCTACACCGCCAAAACATACCCCTCTCTAAGCACTTGAAAACCACTGAAACAAGTCATACAACTGGCGAACAAATGGAGAGTTCAGACGAAGACATCACTTATAATATCGTGGAAAACGATGTTTCCATTCATTTTGAAGAGACGTCCAAAAGTGGGCTAAGAATTGAAACATCGAAAGGAAAGGTTGAATGCAATCGAAATGATACGAAAGAAGTGGAGAGTGAAGAGGAAGTGAGTGATGAAGACGAGGCCATTACGAGTGATTCGGTGGAAGGCTTTAGGAATCTCTCTTTCAATGACTTGACAACAATCCGACAAACAGTTAACAAACGCAAGAAAACTCAATCCACAAGTTCGACGACATCCCAAAGCGATGCGGGCGTTGAGTACCGAAACTGTTATCAGGTCCAGAAATATGACAAACATAATATTCCGCAAATTAAAGTCGAGGATTACGAATCCAATGCCTGTCCCTTCGCGTGCTGCGAGTTCGGAGCCATTCTTTACATTCAGATGGAGTTGTGTTCAAAAAATCTCAAGTCTTGGCTCCGGGAGCGCAACGATACCGCATTCAAACGGTTCGACAATTCGTCTAAAGAAACGAATTATATTCTAAGCGACGAAGACATTAAGACAGCGAAGAATCTATTCCGACAAATACTGAAAGGCGTCGAATATATTCATTCCCAGCATCTGATCCACAGAGACCTCAAACCGCAGAACATATTGTTTAGTGTCGATGACTCCAAAGTCAAGATCGGAGACTTCGGTTTGGCTACACTTCATAATAGTATAGACTCGGACCAGATATCACTCGATCACATACAAAGCACAGCCACCGATATGAACGAACACACCGGAGGAATCGGGACCTCTATATACGCGGCGCCCGAACAGAAGGCCAGACATCCCGACAAGAGTTACGACCAAAAGACCGATTTGTTTAGTTTAGGAATCATTTTGTTTGAACTCTTCTATCCGTTGTCGACGGATATGGAGAAAGTGAAATGTGTCTCAAACCTCACCAAAAAGCAAGTTCTGCCAAAAAGTATCACCAAATTTCAGCCAAATGTAGCCAAAGTGATCCTCGCCCTCACCCACCCTAACCCCTCCATCAGACCCAATGCCACACAAGTATTACACTCTTCTCTGTTTCTCAATGAAGAGCAGATCATTATTAGACAAATTGATGAACAAAATCAACAATTGATTCGTGATTTAGCCGTTAAAGACAAAACAATTAAAGAATTGGAGAATCAGTTGGATATGAAGCGTAAGGAAGCTTTAGAAAGGGATCTATTGATTGAGAAGTTAAGGAAACAATTGTCAGAAATGTCTAATAAATAAATTTATTCTCATAAATAGTCATTTTTATTGTACTCTTCGGTATTTTAATAGATTAATGTTAACTAAATCATACAAATATTGCTCAAATAAAAATATATACAGAGTTTAATCATACTGTATATTTAATTCTATTAAAAACCTAAAAAAGTTACTAGTCTATTTTACAGTAGAATACTTTATCAGGTAAGCGTTATTAAAACATTGTATAAACCTGTTTATTATTCTACCAAGGTTATTGTATAAAACATGTGAATTGACATGTCTGACGAGCACATGCCTGATGATTGTCAATTACCAGGATAACCAGGATTACCAGGACAAATTGTGGAGTCTAGTCTATTATAGTAAGTGATGACAAGTGTTTGAATATATGCGCGAAGTGTGACTCATTAGCAGTGAAAACAAAATAGTATTAAAAAAGTCAAATATTTTGTGAAATGTTTTTAAACCCAAAACAAAACGTAATTATATTTTGTTTACACAAACACACGATCAGCTGATCCCAAGAGTTGTCATTACTTTCTATTCAATAGATTTGCTGTGATTTGGGTTTCGATTCGTTGGCCACAAACGATGTCATGACTGACACCAGAGGTTACGAGTTCTTACTGACAGATAGGCTCACAATGGGATCAATTGACAGATGGCTTATCTTCAGTCTCCTGAAGGAGCCCTTCATCTCCAATATCAGACTCTTCTCTGTCTTCGGCTGCTCTGGAAATGAGGCCATAATTGTGACCAAAGAGGACGAAGTGATGGCTTTGGGATCCAATTGTAGTCTATGTCTGGGTTTAGGCGAAACCGTGGGCTCTCTTGAACCCCGAAGAATAGACTTATTGTCCAAAAAAGGTGTCAACAAAATAGCGGCCGGAAGTGGTCCTCATGTGTGCGCTCTTACATCAAGCGGTGATGTCTTCTCGTGGGGACACAACACATACCATCAGGTATTGAGTGATGTTTTGCACACAATATGACAATCTTATGGTATCTTTGGATTGAATGCAACCATAAGTTAGGGAACGGCTCCACAAACCCCTCTTCGACACCAATTCATGTGACGTCTAATCTGTTGGGCAAACGAGTTGTGGACATGAGTTGCGGTTCGTATCACACGCTGGCACTGACTGATGAGGGAGAGGTCTACTCTTGGGGTCAGAATAATTGCGGACAAATAGGCAGCGGATCGACGACTAATCAGCCGACGCCTCGCAAAGTGACGGCCGGTATCGGCGCGCGTCAAGTCGTGGCCATCGCTTGCGGACAGATATCATCGATGGCTGTGTTGGACACCGGAGAGGTCTTCAGTTGGTATGCAATCGGAACATATGTTTGCGGTTATCACTGACAATTGAATTGCAAATACTGTACAAAAGGGGTTATAATGGAAACGGACAGTTAGGTTTGGGAACGAATGCCAATCAACCGAATCCATGTCGTGTGACTAATCTGAATGGAGTGATCGTCCAGAAAGTGGTTTGTGGTAACGCACACACACTCCTACTCTCAGATGACGGCACGATCTATGCTTTCGGAAGCAATAGTTACGGACAACTGGGAACCGGTAGTAAATCTAATCAGACGTCACCCGTCAAAGTGGGCCCCAATTTGGGCCGATTTATAGACATCGCTTCCTCGCATTACACACACATATCTGCGGCCATCACTCAAGAGGGCAAGTGTTATATGTGGGGCCAATGCAGAGGACATTCCATTACTCAACCGATGGGTAATTCAATCAATCAATTGAACACTCTTTGAGCCGTTTGTTAAGTAACCGACCATTTGAACAGAAACCCCATTCCAGTCAACTCATGACGTGTTCGCCTCCTTCGCGACGCCCGCCGTTACCTTCCGGTCAATAGAGTTGTGTTCGAGTCCTGTCAACCGAGTGCTCGACAGTCTGTCGCAGGCTTTCGATGACCAGAGAACCAGTGATTTCAAGTTTATTGTCGAGAAAAAGCCGATTCATGTGCACAAAGCCATACTTCGGGTCAGATGTGAACACTTCCGCTCAATGTTTGGCAGCAATTGGGAGGAGAGCTCTAAAGGCGAACTTGAGGTGAGTTGTCGTTAGATTCGCTTCAATGAGATTCAATATTAACCGCAAATCCGTTGTAATCGCCAACAGATGACTCAATACTCATATCCAGTGTACTATGCATTCTTGCAATACTTATATACCGATGCGGTAGAGGTGGCCCCTGAAGACGGCATCGGACTCTTAGATTTGGCCAATTCGTACTGCGAGACAGACCTCAAGCAGAAATGTGAACGACTTATAAGGAACGGCATAACCATAGAGAACGTGGCAATGCTATACTCGGCCGCCATTCGGTTCGACGCCAAAGGACTGGAAGACTACTGTTTTCGGTTCGCTTTGGTCCACTTGACTGCTGTCGTACAGACAGACGCCTTCAACCGATTGGATGAGACAACTCTCAAGAGTTTCATAACGAAGGCCGCACTCAATGGTGCCTTCAGACACTAACTCCGACACTAGTTCTTAGTCAAACACCTCTCAAATATAGGTAATTATTTCTTATATTTTGTCTCATACTATATATTTTATTTTCCATATTTTAATTCATGAGATTCAGTGCAAAATTAGTTTTTACAGTAAGTCATTGATTCTCATATATTATTCACTCAATTCTGTGCATATTACAAATAAATTGCAAAAAATGATATATTAAACATAAACGGTAGCTTATATTCATTTTGTGTCAATATTTGATATATTATCACAAAAATTTCGAGAATTAGAAGAATTTAATCATTTAATGACAAAAATTACTTAAAACTCGTAAATAAGAAATATTCAGACTTTTCGCTATTAAAATGAAAAGAATTTTGTGATTCATTAGATATAAAAATTGATTACGTTTTCTAAGATATAGTTTAGACTAAAAATATTAGTACAAAAAACTGAACACTATTTCTGAGTGGACATCAAAATTGTGATCATTTCTTCGTAATTGATGTCTTCATTGCCAGTCATACTAATGGTCTCCAAGAGCTGATCCCACTCTTCATTTGTCATCTTATCTCCCATTTCAGTCATAAGTCGTTTGAGATACGGAATGGGAAGGAATCCATTGCCGTCTTTGTCCAGCACTTTGAACGCTTCTCTCATCTCTTCCTCCTTCTCGCTGTCGGCCATGCGTTGAGTGAAGACAGCCATGAATTGGTCGAAAGTCACTAAACCGTTGTTATTGGTATCAATCTGTGCGACCATTTCATACAATTGCTGCTCATTTGCATTCAGACCATACGATTGCATCACTTCTTTGAGTTCTTTCACACCAAACGAACCCCTTTTGGTTTTGTCGAACATCTCGAAGATCTCCGAATACTTCGCCACATCTTTTGGATCCAATTTCTTCACATTCGCTGACGAAGTGTCCATCACTTCGATAGTTATTGAGTAGTCTTTGAATTTATTTGAAATATTTGTGGTAATTATCAGAAAACTTATAAATTCAATAGTAAAACTATAAAATAGGTCCAATTAATGTGATGTAATTGTAGTGATTATGAACACTCTTTTGGAAGTTTGTGTCTAATTTTGTCATTTGAAATCAATAATGGGTTGAGACTCACGAGACTGCAAATAAATACAATTTATTTATTATTAGAAGTGGTAACTAAATAACTACAGTACATGCTGTAGTACTGATGCTAATTTTATTGTACAACATAACTATAATTTCCAAATACCGGTAGTTTTATTAGTCATTTAATTTGATTGACTATTATCAGAGATGTTATGTACTAAATAAATGTTTATATTCTGTGCGGACCTCTGATAACTATAGAACTAATTGTATTATTCTATATTATAAACAAACAATACAGTAATTTGTTAAAATAATTATATTTATTATGAGTTTAATACATTATATTTTGTAATCTTCATTATTTACTTTTAATAAACAATAAATGATTTGATAATCAAAAAGTATGTGACATATCACACGAATATCTGAATTCCCCAAAACTGGTTGAGTTTGTCGACGAAAATCTGTTGATCGTAATCATCGGAAACATAAGTCTCTATAAGAGTCACCAATTCGTTGATCCGAGACTTGAAACCCGAGAGAACAGAACGAGAACCACCTTTCAGTTTGTGGTAATCGATGAATAAGTCTGCGATTAATCGTAATCATCGGAAACATAAGTCTCTATAAGAGTCACCAATTCGTTGATCCGAGACTTGAAACCCGAGAGAACAGAACGAGAACCACCTTTCAGTTTGTGGTAATCGATGAATAAGTCTGCGATTATGCCATAAATCCTCTCCAAATTGATTTCAGCCGTTTTGGTCTCCATCTCTTCGCTTGTCATGAGTTTTGCCATCAAATCGTTGGCGATTTTAGGATCACTTACACTCAGCTCATTGACCGCTTCCAATAGTTCCTTATTTTGTCGGATATTAATTAGATTCTTGAGTTTGGGATAAAGTTTTTTGAGTGTATGTCCGACACTACTCTCATTGACATCGAATGACATCTCAATAGCGGTCGATCTCTTAGTCGCCTCTCTAGTGATAAAGTCTTTGATTATAGATATGGTGGAGATATTGTCCGATTGGAAAGTCATCACTCCTTTACCACAATTGCATATAAGAATGGTTTCAGTGAAAGTTGAGATAAAATTATAGACAATGACTGGAGAGTTGGTGTTTGATGTGATCTTTTCAGGTATTTCTGGAATACAGAGTTGAATCCAAGTGTGAGATTCATTGAGACTGAAGGTCCCACTAATTGTCAGTTTATTCAAGAATTGTGTGTCGATTGCAGTGTAACTCCGTTTATGCAAAGAAAGCGGTTTGATTTTATAGGTTTTCATTTGAGCGGATTTTGGTGACACTCTTGTCATAACGTATGCCCGCAATAAACCGTACTGTCCTTTGGGTAGAATTGGTGTTGGTTTCAGACAAAGATTCAATGATTGTCATACAAAACTGAACATACCTTCAATGGACCGGATTTTGATCTCCAATCGAGTAGTGTTTGCCTGACATCTAAAAGTCACCAAAACTTGTGGAGATGTGTTATCATTGAAACTAATGACAGCAGAATTGCGTTCACAGTCTATTAGATCCAACGGAATATCGCTCTGAACGATGACCGCATCGATGGCTATCTCCACCTCCAGAGTCAACAAATAAGACGCGTCTAGAGTTGTGGTTAATTCTTAAGATTCAAGCAAATGAATGGTATGACAGGAGAAGTGCATACCCTCCTGAAGAATAAACGAGTCATTTATAGCAAAGTAAGGCAGCGCTGAGACGCCCACATCTGGAGCGTCTCCATCATCGGAGGCGCCTTTGGATGTCAACTCTTGATACCTATCCCTCTCTTGAGTCAACTTCTGCTCCAAGCGCTCGCATTCATCCCTAAGCGTCTCAATCTTCATAGCCGTGTCTTTACTGATGAGTAGATAATTGGGATTAAGTTTTTGATTAATCATTTCATTTCTGGTTAATCCGAAGATAACTCCAGTGAAAGTCGAGCCCAGAATCAGATTCCCGTAATTGCAGACCAATATGGAGGTCAGGCTCTCTCCACAGTTGTGTTGGTCTCTAAGAATAGGCGCAAGACTTAAGTCAATCATTTCCTCTCCGTTTTCGCTCAACGTCTCAGTGAACGACCAAATCTGCGGTCAAATTGTTTTACAAATCAATTGATGCAAACATTTATCATTCATTGATTAAGACCTCAACGTTTCCGTCAGATCTTCCGATATATAATTCTGCGGCCGAATCGGCTATTGATATACCAAATCTGCGGTCAAATTGTTTTACAAATCAATTGATGCAAACATTTATCATTCATTGATTAAGACCTCAACGTTTCCGTCAGATCTTCCGATATATAATTCTGCGGCCGAATCGGCTATTGATATGCAGGTAACCGATGGTTTTGACCCCTTCTCAGGGATTTCCCATTTGTGCAACGGTTCCAAAGGTTTTTTACTGAAATCAATGGAAACGAGAGCCACCTTTCCATCGAGTGTACCATAACAGACAAGGGTTTCATTGATACCATTGGCCGAGTAGTGCATCCAAAGCAATGCATTAGGAATGCCTGAGATCTCGACCTCGTACTGACACGAAGAGTCCTTTATAATGCGAAGTAGTCTGTCCTGACAGGCCAGCACCGGCACTACAGTCCAGGAACTTAGTTACCACTCAAAAAGTAAATCAATTCATACATTACCTGTTCGTCTGTTATGTTTGTCTTCAATGAGAATCAATTCATTAATCTTTTCGGGACAGACATAGTAGTTTTTGCTCTGAACACCGGAACCACTTTTACTGTCAGATTCAGTGATGATATAATTGTTGTAAATATAATGACCACTAATGAAGATCTCGTTTGGCCACCGCATCTTCAGACTCTTTATCGGTTCCGTTAAGTTATTCAACTCTAAACCGAAAAACTGTTTGCCTTTCTTGTTGTAACCCCTGATCACTGATGAGCCGAAAGCAACGAGAATCTTAGGCGAACCCCCGCTGTTGGAGCTATTGATCACTTCAATGCAACTAATCTTGGCATTTGGACCTGAGGAATGCAAATGGTTGGACACAATCACACAACCGACTCATACAATTCAAAGACTATGAATACCGGGAAGTGTTTTGAAAATAGTGTCGATATTAGTGGAGTCGGGTCTGAGAGTAAAGCAGTGAACAGACCCCGAGTGGTCGCCCACCACCGCAGCAATGGTGCCATTGTCTGGACTGGCGATGCCTTGTTTGATGAGTTTGAACGAGTTCTTGGAGGTGAGACCCACTTGCGTGTAGTCGATTCGATTCAGTTTGTTAGACATAACACTCTTTTATATGAATACCTCTCGCAAACAAAATCATCGAAAGTTTTGTTTGCCATGAATTCAATCAATACAAGAGTTACTATAGAAACACATCTTTTATTCTTTATTCATATTTCTCTGTTTTATATTAAATCAATTCATTGACAATAAATAATTTGTTAAAATATAGAAAAGCATCTGATTTTTGCCTAAATTATTATATAAAAAGCAATTGTAAATTTAAAAAATACAAATCGTATTGAAATATAATATAAATATACTTTGAATTAAAATATAGAATCATTTCTAAAATTAATTATCAAATCATAATTGATTTTATGTGACTATGAGTTTGTGGTGAAATTGCAATGAAATGTATAAATAATGTCATGTTTTGGCCGATAATTATATATCAATTATATTTCACTCAAAATATTTCCGATTATATAATAAATAATCAAATTATAGGAAGACTTTGAACGAAATAATTCACAGAAATATTGAGTTCAAGTTTAGCTTAGTTTTGATTACATTACAAATTATGCAAAACATCACTTGATTTCAAAATATCGTAATAAATAAAATTAAAACTTAAAAACTATTTTACATTTCCATCAATTCGGTCGACGATAGCCTTATATTCTCCTGTTTTCGGCGTTGACTGCGGCGGACGGCGTCTGCCCTCCGATAGGGCTCGTTCTTCAGACCTAAAACACCAAACATACGATTGTATTGATAAATGTATTCACAATTTGTTCGCTTTTCAAACACAAAGCCAATGCATACCGAGGAGTATGTCTTCGAGAGCCCCGTTGTAGACCTCGTCCTGCTTTAGTAAACGCTTTTCCCTCACTTTCACTTCATTTGATGCCTCCTTTTCGGGTGACTTTTGTTGCTTTTCTGCGATCTGTTGTCTGAGCTCTTCCTCGAACTTCTTCCTCTGTTGTGTGACGTTATCGCTCTGACATTGCTTGAAGTTCTTCAGGAATCGGGTGAACGTTCCGAACAATTGGTTCGACGACTCCATGAGTTTAGTACTTTCGCCGAAATATTCCACACATTCGTTGTACTCGTGTTGCGCTCTCTTGAGGTCCTCGCGAAGGGCCTGAAGTTCCGGTGATTTGTTTGATATGAATTGTCTCAAGTGTTGAGTCGCCTGATTGTTAGCCAAACCACTGCTGTTCCGTAACTGCAACTCTTGTTTACATAAATCCATTCCCTTTTCTAAGTCAATCACTTCGAGAGTACACGTTTCCATCGACACGACGGTTGCCCTTTCGATGGCTGCCAACAGCTTTTCCAAATCAAACGGCATTTTTACATTTTCTAACGTATCTCCGCCTGACATATGACCAGAATTTTTGCCCAAAGTTAAGAAGATGTTGGGTCTCACGGGTTTGGGTCCGTTCTCAGCACTGCTTAGTATAATGTCTGATATATAGTGTAATAGAGATCGCGAGCGATCGACACTAGATTTCGTTTCACAGATGAGGTCCAAAGTGGTCAGTTTGAAGCCATAGGCCGGCGCCGTCGCTATAGTACGGGTGGAACTGTTGAGATAATTGCCAAAAACGAGGACGTACTCCAAAATCATGCGAATTCCCGGCGATTTGCGAAGAAGTCTCGCGGCTTCGGTGATGGTGGCGATGCGCGACCGGCACTGATTCACGATATTGTCCTCTCGGCTCTGGTTGGGCTGAACCAGAGATGTCATATAAAACATGATTTTGAGCTTTTGTTCGAGTCTTTCGATTTTGGAGATATGAAAGAGGAATTTGTCGACTTCGTTCATCTCGTCCAACACCCGCCCCGA